CCCATTCATGGGGGACTTGCGGTCCATTAATATAATTAAAAGGTCATTGCACTGAAGCAACGGAAACCATCCGGGATATCCTTAATAATATCTCAGAGGATCCGGAAGCCAAGAATCGAAATTGCAGGAGGGAAAGTGCTGGAATAGCCAACTTCCAGAGTGTTCAAAGAATCAGATGCAATAGCCAAGGTTCTTCCAAGACAAATTGGGGTCTATTATTTAGGGTGCGGTCCATAGAGGTTGACTTCAAAGTTCCTGAAATCACAAGAGTGTCACATCACATGGTTCAGTCACAGCGCGTCGAGTTTTCATCCTTGCGGATGAAATTTTGTGATGGTAAAAGTACAGTGCTGAGGTCCCAAAATATGCAGTCTCCCATGGGCCACTATGTAGCACTACCAAGCACTATGGAGACGAGGTCCCACTACCAAGCACTATAGCCCACTAGGGCAAAAATCACGTTTTGCTGATGTTACATAAGCTGTTTTGTACACCGACAAAGCTGAGCACAGTAAGACACAAAGCCATCAAAACAAGTTTTGGTTTGTGAATTATTTACACTTGGGCTGTCGGAGAGGCGGAATAAATCTCATTTTCCAGTAATTAAATCATCCGCGTCTTTGGCGCGCCCGTTCCGAGTTGCGACAGTAAACAAATTTCAAAGTAAGAGACACTTGCAAGCTACGGAAGCAAAGAATGAAAGCATTTGTATGGCACACCCCATATATATGTGTAAAGAAGCTCGCTCGCATTTGAGAACCTCGGTTTCCTACAACCTCATGCATTACAATGTGCTGTTTTTCCTCTGGTGCATGCATATAAGGGCCTGCGGGGCTCAGAGTCATCTCTCCGTAAATGTATTAGATACCTACGGCATTTGGAATGAGTTATTTAAGGCTCGATTCTTCATCTGCACGAGTGCAATTTTCAGTAGCACCGTGTTTAATTGTGGACTCCCGAGTGTAGTGAGGTTATACGAGTGAGATATGAGCGGTCGGAGAGAATGACGCTCGCCAGCAATCGGATACACATGAATACCCGGCACTTCGGGGTATGAGGTTCGATTCCCCGCGACGGCGTATTCCACTGTCCGCGGTGTCTATTTTTGCCCGAACACGCACGAGGTGTCGTGACCAGCATAGCTGGTCCACCGTAATTACATGTAAGTTACATCATATGATTCTGAACTTCGTGGAGCATGGCGCTCTCCTCATATTCATTTGTCGCCACAATGGAGTGCATGAGGATCGGGGTTCGATGAAGGTATCCCATTGATTTTTTTGTCCTTTTCCTTACATTTCAGAAACATTGAATATGAATTGAGGGTAGTTGAAATGCTTATAAGCTTCCGTGGAGCATGGCGCTCACCTCAAATCTATAACATATATCGAAGGGTTCGGATTGAAAGCAAGGGGTTAGATTCCCCACGAAAGCGTAGGCCTGAAACTTTTGTGTTATTTATTAGTCCGCGATATCGTGCGGGTTGCTGAAACTTTCAGTCTTGTTATCACCACGAGCCTGAGGGACATCTCTCACACCTTTGCGGAATACCGAGTATATCCCAATCAAAGCAGTGGTTCGTAGCTCGAATGGTAAGCTGTGTTCGAGGCAGTAAAGCTCTATCAGTCGATTGAGTGGTTGTGAATTTTTTTTATACATCGAACCATACACCCGGAGAGAGCAAGTGCGTCGCTAGAAGCTAACACCATTTTCTGACGGCCACAGATTGGGTTCCGCGGACGCAGGGAATATATATATTGGGGAAAGAACCTCAAATCGGACGCCATGGGGAAATTGTATTGTTCTTTTTGAATGAGATCTGGATGGTTGCGTCTCCTGCTCATTTTTTGGGAAGAATCGATGATAATATGATATGTGTAAGGAGATGGAAGCATCGTGCGTGGCTCGAGGCGATCGAATGAATTAGACACGATGAAGTGGACGTACAGACTTTAAGGCGGTTCTACAGATTACAACAGTGGTAGAATATATTGATTGTTATCTCTCAGACTGTTCAATTCGTCGTAAAGAAGACAAATCTTAAACCGCCAAGGCCGCGCAATTTGCCGGATTGTTCAACGCCACGGATTCAGCGCCCGCCAAATCGCGGCGATATTCAGTGTTTCCCGTCAGACAATCTCGCGGGCCCTGGAAAACAGCTACACGCCGCCAGATGACGTTGAAAAGGACTATAACTGCGTCGATGAGGAGTTCATGGCCCACTATCCGCCCGTCGTCGGTGCGCCTACCTCTGTAAGCGCGCAAGCCAGGTCTTTTTTTTGGGGGGGGCAGATTGACGGAGATGGTATTATTAGATGGGAACTCCCACTTCAGCGGCTCGTGCTGGTGGAGAGTCGCGGGTAGGTTGTGTTTAAATCATTGCGCTTACTCCCAAGATTGATAGATTGCCCGGCAGGGATCAAGGAGCGCTCAACCAGCATCCCGATTCCAATTCCGATTCCGATTCCGACGAAGACCGCGATTTGTGGGGCCGGGTTCGCATCACAGAATACAGCCTTCATTTTCCTTGCTTACATCCCCTCCTCACCAGCGCCTCCGCAAGCTGAAGCGTCCATGCGCCTCCGAATCTGCCACCCTTGTCGGGATCCCCACAAGCAACGTCGAGGTCCGTGATGCTTTATCGCTCCAATGGCCCGCTAATCTTTGTTACCACCCTTGGCTGCAGCCTAGCACCTCCGCGTCCCCCGTCGCCAAGAAACCACACCTCGTGAATCCTGCCTCGAATGTACGCCGCCAGGTTCCCATTCCCTTGCATCCTGTACACATTAGTTCATTACTTACTTTGTCCGCCGTAAACCATCCCTCCAGACGTAAATATGCCCACAACGCAACCCCACGCTGCTCCTCCTCCTGCTCTGTCCCTGAACGCCTGTCAGATGATGTTCGTCAAAGACAAGTGACCTTTCAACGTGAAAAAGACTGTTGGAATATTCCGGGCTGGACCGGCGTGGGTTGCGAGCAACAAAGAGCTCGCGGTTGTCGTCGGAAAGCACTGCGGACCGTTTCACATAAGCTTTCCATGATATTCCATCGCTTTACCTTTGTGTACGCCATCCGGTTGCCTCCATACCACCATGTACCTATGAGGACAAAGAATCTTTTGCTGCCGGTTTACCTCGCTTGTGCTCACCAACTTAGCCTTGCTGGGACGAATTCTAACAAAAGACCTGGGATTCGACTTCTATCAGACAATCGAAGCATGACAAGCGCATGCCATCGGCAGAATTCTGAAACACTTTTTGGACAAATTAGTGTCCTAGTCGTCCTAGCAATTTCACCCGCTGTCAGCCGACTCAACGCCTGCCACTCACTCACTCACGGTGACTTGCCCTCAGCCGGAGATACAGCAGGACAGATGCCGTCAAGCTATTGTTGGAATTTCTAATGTACCTTAACTCCAATAACTTAGAGATAGATGAAAATCAGCGGGTCCATATAAAAGACTTACTTCTCTGGCGACTCAGCCCCATCACCATCCGTTCTCCCAAGACTGAAGTACTTATCATAATGTTTATCAGAGTATCCATCTTGTTTGGAATGCTGATTATTGCAGCATTTGTATCTGGTAAGCCATTCCAAGCATCCTAAAGGCTGCACGAAGCCCTGACCTATATCTATAGCCAATCCAACCGTGAGTACCTTCTGCATGAGATTGCACTCACAATAACGCTTCAAATTCTGCGTGGTAACTAGAAATGTACGTCTCAATTTGGATTATCTCAGATCCATGTTTAATGTCGTTTTTCAGGCATACCCGGTACCCGATCTGGACCGTGCAACAACTGCATTTGCACTGAGGACGGCGAGATCGCTTGTACCAATGTTGTCTGCCCTCGTAAGTCTTTCGTCTTCGCCTGGAAAACATCCATTCAAATCTCTTGTGTAGCACCCCGAGATCCTTAGACAGAAGTAGAAGTAGAGAGGCAGCTATGCGAAGGGTGTCCGAGATACTGTAACTCTAAGCACATCATGCAAACCGATAAGTCTGCCTTGATTCTTTGCGCCGAACAACGCGGCGCTCCATCCGCGAGTAGCCATCCGTCTCTCAGGTCTCTCCATTGACAGCTCTATCGGTCTTCCTGAGGACGGCAGCCCAAGTCCTATCTCATGAGAATTTACACATGAAATGCGTGAGTTCAAGACCTCTTGAATGATGCTGCTTCCGGATCCTCACCAATGGCCATGGATATATATCAAGTGTGAACAAAAACCCTGATGTTAGGCGTTTAATCATGCTGACCATTGCAACATCGTAGGAGGTACCATTGAGTGACCTGCATGTAAGTAAATCATGCGAGTGCGCACAAGGCAAACCTTGCGTTGGTAGATGAATTGAGGAGGGGTGACCGAGCTGAAAAAAAGAAAGCGCGAGGCAGGGTTATGCTGCTGAGACCCTGCTGCGTCAGGCTTCAGTGGGCAGCACAGTGGAGGCGGAGGATCGGTCCATGAATGTCAGGCTGGGCCATAACAGACTTGCGCGTTAAAAAGGCGTGGATTATGTAAGGAATTAACAAAAATTCGCGGGCGCGGCGTATAAGACGTACAAGAGGTTGGTGAAGGGTGAGCGTAGTAGATCCGGTCGATTTTGTGCCCCGTCCCAGGCCAGAGTCGACCCAGTGAGCTCGCACTCAGTCTTCAAAGGCGAACCGCGAGCCGAGAGACAGTGCCCGAGGGCAGGGTCAGGCTAAATCCAGAGAACTAAAGGCCCGGTAGTTCCTCCATGAGTAGTCCCAAGAGCGCAGCGAATTCAGGACGTTCAACGTGGTGGTGGCTTGCGGCAAAAAATGGGTGGCACGTGTTGATCGGCAGCCGGGCCGGACGATCAAGCTAGACACCGCTTCGACCGCTTGGAATATTCGCAAGGGATACGCATAACAAAAAAGTTCTAAAAGAACTTTTCCCGGATTCTTGGGGATGAATGCTAATTTATAAGTAACACAAATCAAATCAAAAATACAAAAAACGATCGCACTATTTTATGCCCTCGGGAGGATTCGAACCTCCATCTCCCACTGGACTCGTAGCTATAGTGATTGTCGGGCTGACAAGGAGCGGGTGATTTACCATTTAATCAACGAGGGCCTTGATACCTTTTGAATCATACTTGATATGGCTTCATCTGGATTTGCGAAAATAAAATAAAAACCGTTCAAGTTCAACACACTCAGAAAATTCTGTAGCTCGTGCATCATCTACATCTCTCTCTATGTGCGCAATTTTTTTTTGAAAATAAAATAAAATTGCGACACCTTGTGGAGTCGTGGACTTCAGTCCTTCCTTGTAGGAAGAAAAAAAATGTATACTCTCGGGAGGATTTGAACCTCCATCTCCCACTGAATAATTATGGCCTGAGAATCATGGACACGTCAAGTGCGGTGAACGATTTAGTTTAGCGACGGGGGGTTTATAGTTTTGCGACGAACCCTGATGTCGCTTCAGCTGGATCTACAAAAAAAACCTTCAAATTTGACACGCGTTCAGACAAATTCTGTATCTCATCGGTGGATCTACATCTCGGGAAATTGGAATGTGGGCATACTTTTTAAAAAAAAATCAAACAAATGTCGAACACCTCATGGGACTCATTAATTCCGCGTACCAAAAAAGCTCGTGAAGAGTCAACCTCCTTCTCCCACTTGACTATGCGAAGTTGTAACTTTTCATTGCACCTTGATTTAGTTTCAGCTGGAGCCGGCATGAGGATAAAAGAAAGTATATGCCCGCTGGGAGATTCGAACCTCCATCTCCCACGAGTGATTCCTGCGGACGCGCTGAAGTGGTGCGGGTGACTTCAACGAAGGCTTCGTGCGTCTTCGCTGAACCTTGAGATGGTCTCAGCTGCAGCCTGCATCTGCTAATAAAAATTATACACATAATTCTGCACAGTACCCTCCGATCGATTTGGACCTACTGTATTCGTTCACGTCTTGCAAATCTCCGATGCGTGACCGCCCGGGCGGTGCTTTCGGGCTTCCCTCGGTCATTCGGCCGTTTCGGCCTTATTCGGTCGTACCAAGTTGCCGGATCAAACGATCCTGCGCCGGTGGCGGTGCCATCTACCTCAAGTAAGAGTCACGAACTCACGCCATGTCTGACTCTTTACCGCACAGGTTCACTTACCAGAGGTAGGTTCACAATGGGGCTCTTCTTTGTAATCCTAACCCTTGGCTCAGACAACGAACATGGTTGAGCTGGCTTTGGTCTGCCTGGCTTCTAGTTCCTGGGACCATTCGCCACCGGGTCTATTGCGTTCTGGTGCGCTACGTTGGCAAGCGACAACAAACGTCTCCGGTTTACCAGCTACCCCTCGGGATCTACGTCAAATTCTGCCGCTTGCCCGATGAAGCGCTTGTCATGGAGTACGTTCGGACCCAGACAACTATCCCTGTGCCGCAGGTGCTCGACCACATCACTGCTGCCACATCCTTCGAGCCAGACAGCCGCTTTTTTCTCCTCGTCATGACCGCGCTCCCGGGAGCGCCGTTGTTTGTGCAAGGCACGATTTCTCGTCTCGTCGACGCCACCGACAAGCAGCGCTGCCTTCTCGAAACCACCATAGCAGACTGGATTTTCCAACTTCGCGCCTTCTCGCCGCCGCACCCCCACTCTGTATCCGGGTTCATGGGGGGCTCTTTTCTAAGCTACAGAATCGGCCACCATTCGGTTGGGCCTTTCGCCAATGTGGCACAATTCCATGCGCAGCCATTTTGCACCGTGTGGAACAAAAAACCCGACGACAAGATCCAGTCCCTAGTCGCAGATCGGGCGGCCAGGGAATATCGTATCCACCTTACGCACGGCGATCTCCTGCCGCACAACATCATGACGGATGGCGCATGCTGCCCGACCGGGCTCATTGACTGGGAGTGCGCAGGGTGGATGCCCGAATATTGGGAGCTCGCGTCATCCACCCGGGTCCCATTTCAGCGGATGTATGCCTGGAGAAACATGTATCCTCGGTGTTTTCCGCAGTATGACGACGACTTGACTCTGGAGCTGCAAATTCAAAGGTACTGGGACCCGTGAGACCGTCATCGTGTTCGTGCTAGCTCTTCTGATGCATGTACTTCCCCAATTTGTACCGGCAAACTTTTGACTACAGTTTTCGAGAGGACTTGGCAGCACTTCAATTGAGCAAAGTTCTACTAAGACGAGACACCATTTTCACTACTTAGAGGACTTGGCGATGAAGTACATGTATCCCTCGCGTCATTAGCCTCCATACTTGCGACATTCGGCCTGCAGCGCATATACATCCGGGCAGTTTAGATCGCCATTGTCGTGTAGACAAGGGACCGCCTGTCAAAACCACAGGAGACAATTGAATGGGATCCCGGCTTTCTCGGGTGGCGTCACCACCCCACTATATAGATTGAAATAAAAACCAGCGTGGGAGATTCGAAGAGTTCCTGAGAAATAGAGACAAACAAGCAAGGGGCTTCGAAGATAAGAAATTTCCCTATATGGACAGGGAGGGAGGGGTCCCCCCGAGGTCTGAAAATGTTTTTTGTATGAGATTTGGAAACTGGTTCCTTTGCTCAGATTTGTGGAAAACATGCTTCAGAAAAAAATTGGAATTTTGAGGGCTAATTTTTGAGTCTCTTTGATTCTCAAGACCGTCAGTTATGGGCAGCCTCGGCTCACAACTCTGCATACGTATAAGTTTGTGTTTTCCGGAAGTTGCGGATCAGGCCGTACCAGGCCGGTATATCACGTGTCCGATTGATGTGCCTAAAACCGAGATTTATTTTCAGTCAAAATAGGTGCTACAGCTCAAGGAAAGAGCTGAATACTATACATAAATCATCCAAAACACTCTCCTGCATGAATGCCGGTCCTGGCATTCATTTCGAGGAGAAAAGAATTGGCGGTTTCCATATCGGGAAGTTCTCACGCTGTCATTAAGGGAGGGAGGGGTCCCCGAAGGCTCTGAGAAAAAAAAATGGAAGGTATGTGCGGATTTTCGCATTTTCAAAGCCCCTTGCAAACAAGTGACAAACAATCTCACTCCTGGCTGCGACGACCAGGCGATTACTTTAAGGATGGAAGGGCACACCGGCCAGATTCAAATAGTTGCAGATGGATATCCCACTGAACTTGGTAAAGATCCACGTGGCACAGAGATCAGCGACTCGCGGTCGGACGCGCAAGCCGCAAATGGGACCGTGTCCATGCGTGCGGATACTACTGGTGTTCATCTGGGGCAGTCGAAGTTACAGATTCCAAATAACGAGAGCCCTCCCATCTTGACCCTCCCTGTGGAAATCACCGCGAAAATTTTTGTCCATTTCCTCCCGGATTACTCTTCCACTTGCCGGACCTCTCTCCCCTGCATTTCTGGGCCAGATCTGCCGGAATTGGCGCGAGATAGCATTCAACACACCTCGATTATGGAGAGCCATCGACATATACCTCCACAACGAAAGTTCATTGGATGCACAACTGAATGTGCTCACCACTTGGCTTTCGCGTTCGAAAAACTGTTCCTTGTCCCTCTCTTTCCAGACACAATTGATGTCCTCGAAACTCCCCCATTTCACGGCCGCACTCATCTCGCAATCGGAGCGCTGGGAACATATCGTATTAATCATTCCTTTCGAGGATCTTTGCTGGCTCGACCGCCCTTTCCCTCTCCTACGTGACCTGACTTTCGGACCTAACCCTTATTCTGCGACCGAGAGCTCCATTATGGTTTTTCACGGCGCACCGCAATTAAAGAGTGTTGTCCTCAGTGTGATGGTTAATGGGCCTCGCGTGGTCCTGCCGTGGTCACAGCTTACCAGCATCACTGCTGGGATGTTGGAGACCACCGTGGCGTGGCGGCCGACATTCTGCGGAAAGCTATTGCCCTTGTGAAGTTCACCTGCACCGTGTGGGAGGACACTACTGTTCCAGGAGCCGTACCACCCCTTACCCATCTCGAATCATTGATTCTACGTGATCGCCAGTGGTGGGGCACTCAAAAACTACTGCTCGGTGCCCTCACTGCTCCGGCGCTCCGACAGCTCACAATCTCAGAGTATGAGCTTGGCGATGAACCTATTTCCACCATTGCAACATTTCTTTCCAGATCGCGCTGTAGCCTCCAATCTTTGCACGTCGCCGCGGCCAACCTGCCGAAGACTGCGTACTGCGCAGCATTCCCCTCGATTCCCATAATCGATGTGAAAAATCGCCAACGGGCCTGAGTGGAAGGCCTTCTCGAACGTCGTGCTCCTATATTTCGTGTGTTCCCGGTTCACCTGGAAGGGTGTTATCTCTACTCATGTTCCTGACTAGCTCACGCACGGAGTTGTGCAGTGCTATCAGCGGCAATTTACCCTTGAGAATTTGTACACCGTCACCTATTTGGTTTGTCCCTATAGCAATTTCCACATACATGTACTGCAATGGATGTATATTCTCCTTGGATCCAGGGGTGGCATGAAAAACAAAAGTAGGCTTGAACAAAGGTGGATATGAAGGAAGGATGAGGGAGTATTCAGTGGACAACACCAATGGGGGTTACGCTTTTTTACCATTGAAGGGAACATATATAGGGCTTCATCCAGGCCTATAAGAGTAGGAAGAAAAAGGCAGAAAGCTATCGCGCGTTCGGGATGATTTGAACCGACGTGAGCTTGCGGAAACTGTCGCGACCTTCTACTCACCCTTAGCGACATAGGAAACATCCCCGCTCGGAGACAATCCACCAGAAGACACGCGAGTATCAGCGACTGCATTCCTGGATGGTCCATCTTGTTCTTTCCTCGTTCTGCCGCTCATTTTCTCAGGTACACTATGTTCGACACCATGACCAAAGTCGCAACTGCCCTTGGGAACACTGCCGATGCCACCTCATTCACCAATAAGGCCGCGGCAATTAAAACCTTTTTCAAGAAATAGAAATTGCCGGCGCTTTTTGATGGCCAATCTCTCACGACGGTGTGTGGGCTCTTAGTCGAGGCTAAACGGCTCTTCCTATTGAGGAAGCGAGACACAGATCCTGAAAGTTCTGCTGTTCAATTTTCTCACCGAGAGCCCACTGGCAGACTGCGTCCCATGTATATAAATCAGCGAAGCGTTAGGAGACTGAGATATAT